TGTATGGGGTGCTCTCTCGTTTCTCCTGCCCAAGCTGCTTTTTTGAAATCAGTGACTGGTTCTCAAATTTGCGTCAGAGCCACTTGGAGGCCTTGTTAAAATACAGATGACCAGGATCACCTTTAGAGTTTCTGATTCAGTAGGTCTAAGGTAAGACCTGAGAATTTGCATTCCTAGAAAGTTCCCAGATGATGCATCTACTCCTTTCTACAGAACACACTTTGAAAACTTGTTTCAAGTCCTACATTAATAATAAAATTTTTTTTGATTTCACTATCATAGACATACACCAATTAGCATTCAGCCATACAACATATAAAGCATAAACTTCCCCCCAAACTTATTTTTTATATATTGTTATCAACAAGGGAAACTTTTTATTTTTCCATGAAGAATGGGAAAATTTTAAGATTGGTAACATTCAGTATTGCAGAGGATATGAGTAAACAGGTAATCTAATAACCTGTTGATGAGTTTATGAAAAGCTATGCTGGTTTTGGATGGCAATTTAACAGTTATTATCAATATTTTTTAAAGTATACATTATTTAATCCAGAAATTTCCACCTAGGAAAACCATAGAAAAATATATGATGTTCACAGCAACATCTGTAAATTGGAAATAACCTTAAGGTGAGAAATATTAAAATAAGTCAGTCACAAAAGTAAGGAAAGATATTGTCTGAACAATTATTCTTATATGCATATTTCTATAATTGAACCACTGAGTAATTTTCTACAGTACATCCTACAACAGAAAAGACATTCTGTCACATAGTATTCTAGCATGGTACTCAATTGCTGAAATTTAAATGACAAGATGAAAATCCATTAACATTCTAGAGCAAGCTACTTATGTACACTTTTTAAAGTTGATTATTTTCCTTCATTCCTTAGAGACTTCATAAAGCTCTACCAAACTCCCTGACTTGCTCTAGGATTAAATGAGGGAAACTGGCTTTGAGCCTAAATTCATAGTTTCTCCAGTGAATTTTAAGAGTGCTTTCTGATCACGTTTAAAAATCTCAGTGTCAAGTTAGTGTACACCAGCACCTCAGAAAGCACTGTGGCAAAGGCTATCAGAATTTATAATGTGCATGTTCTTTGCCCCAGCAAGTCCACATCTATGAATTTAGTTTAAGCAATGATACATTTTCAAAGATCTTAAGCAAAATTTTTATGATTGTGTAAAATAAGGCACTGATTGATACATTTATGCAATGCAATTGCATAAACAATTGCAATACTATGCAATTGTTTAAAGTATGGACAGTGAAAGACATTCTTAATACAGGGTCCAGCACAAATAAAGCCCCTTTTATTACAAAATCATAATTATGTAATTCTGTAACATAATAATCACACCCAAGCACACCATATGACATTTTAGGTGAAATGTTCAAATTAAAACTGTAAATTATTACACCCATCTTATTACCCTACCAACCACACTCAAGCAGGTGTTACTTCTGCCGGACCCTGGATATTGTTGAATGGAAAATATTTATAGTACAGAATATATAGTGTTATCTCATATTATTTACATATGTATATTTATATATGTGTATCTGTGTTATGTATGTGGTATTGGAGGATATAAGAGTATGTTTTAATATCTAGTTAGGCTAGTCGCCTCTTTTTATTTTTTCCTTTTAGTTTTCATAGTTATTCTTGTATGTTCTCTCAAATAAAAATAAACATAATTTTTATTGGGATAGAATTAAATTTATGCATTAACCTAAGGGAAATAAAAGCATGTTTTGATGTTGAGTCTCATCTAAGAATATGGTGTATCTTTTCATTTGTTCAAGACTTTTCAGCCTTTCAAGAGTTTTATTTCTGAAGCTTTCCTCAGAAGTTTTGGACATATTTTAAGTTTGCACGTAAGTTTCTTTGTTGAAGCCATAAAAGGGATATTCTCAAGTATATTTTCTAACTAGGTTTGTGTATATATATAAAGTCTTTTATTCTTAGTAAACATTTTTATTGAACTAAAATTATAAATACAGAAAAGTGCACAAATCATTAAGTGTACAGCTTCATATTCATAAAGTGAATGTGCCCATGGAACCAGCACCTAGGTCATAAAACAGAACAGCAGCAGCACCACAGAAGCTGCCTTGTGCTCTTCCAGTCCCTGTGGAGCTCAAGAGGACAGTTGAACAAATAACACATACATTATGACTCCATTTATATAAAGTTTAAAAACAGGCAAAACTAATCGATGGTGATTATGTCATGATAATAACTTTGGGAAAGGAGGTGGTGACTAAAAGGGGGTGCTGATTTCTGACACCAGAGGTTTTTCCCATTTTGAACTTCAATTAAAGAGTATGCACTCTTTTTGTGTCTGCAGAAGACTGCTGATATTTCTATGTTAATAAATTGCTACTTTACTAAGTTCTCATTTTTCAACAAATGCCTTTTTTCCAGATATAAAATCGTATCTGCAAATAGTTGTACCTCATCCTTCCCAATTTATGTCTCTGTTTTCTTTTATCCAACTTCATTAACTAAGCCCTCTAACACAATGTGAAGTAAGTAGAGGAGATACTGGGTCTTGTTCTGACTTGGCTGGAAAGCCTCTTCTGTTTCAACACTAAGTTGCTGGCTTTTGGGCAGAAGTCCAATGTCAATGAATTACTATCAACCTCTACTTGAGTATATTTGACATGAATGAGTGCTCAATTCTGTCAAATGCCTTTTCTGCAAAGATGGAGATAATGGTATGATTTTCCCCCTTAACTCTTTTAACATAGTATCAATAGATTGTCTAATTTTCCTCGCATTTCTGTAAGCCCAACCTCGTGATGACTTACTACTTTTTGAAAGTGCTATTGTTTGCCAATATATTGTTAAAATTTTTGCAGTGATATTCCTAAGTGACAGTTTAATTTTCTTTTTGGTATACTTTGTCAGGTTTTGGAGACACTATTATTCACTTTACAAAATGAGTTTGGAAGTCTTTTTTTTTTTTGGCACTTGGAGGTTCAAGATACTTTTCCTAGCCTCTGGAATTCTTTAAATATTGAGATTATTTAATCACACAACTTTGGTATAAAACTCCTTGAAACCATCTGGGCCTGATGCTTTTCTTTGTAAGGAATCCTTTAACTATTTGTTTCTTCTATGGTATATGGTAATTAGTTTGTGAATTTCTTTATCTGCTAGGGTAAATTTTGGCAATTGGTATCTTTCTAAAAAAGTTATTTTCCTAATCATATAAAATTACTGGAAGTAGTCTTAAAATTTTGAAAGTTTTCCTGTTTTATGGTTATTTCTCCTGTCATTTAAATTTGTTTCCTCCCATTTTCTTGAGTAGGTTAGCTGGTGGTTTGTGTATCTCATTCTCCCCTCCTTCCCCACTTTTTACTAATTCCTTCCTTCTGCTTTCTTTTGGTTTGCTTTTTCCTCCAGTTTTTAAGACTTGGTAGTTTAACTTTGAGCTGCTTCCATTTTAATTGATGAAGTTCTAAATATTATAGATTTTCTGTCATAACTGCTTTTTAGAAGTATGTACATTTGGCCCCCATCAGTCCTGTGGTCATGTGTTTCTGGTGTGCTTTCATCACCTGTGAGGATTTCATCTGCTTCGTTCTTGTAACTCTGAATGGGATTTGACTGTAATCCTTTTCAGTTGCCCATTTTTAAAAAAATTTTTGTTTGTTGTTGTTCAGTTACAGTTGTCCTGCCCTTTCCCCCATTGCGCACCCCTGCCCCGCTCCCCGCCCAGGCAATCCCCCTCGGTGCACATCTTCGAGTTTTCCTCTACTTTTAGGAGGGAGGGTGATTGGTGGCTTTTCTTAGATCCGCAGTCCTAACACTCCCTGTTCATTTTTACCAAGTAATTTAAAAGATTATACATGTCTATAAATAATGCCTCTGCTTATTGGCTCTCCTTCCCAATTTTTATCTGGACTTTCTAGTCTCTGTCCTATTGTACCTGTCCTAATTCTAGAAGTTTCTCCTCAGTGCTAGGCTTTGTCTCATTACTCTCAAGAGGTACAGATTGCTCTAGCACGATCCTCACACCTTATTATATTGCTGTAACACTCACCTGAAAATGGGAACCTGTAGAACCCCTCCCACTCTCAGCTTCTGTTCTCAGACTGGCCCACTGCACTTTATAGTGAGCAGCGGTCGGCAGCGTTCTAGTTCTCCTGTTCTCAAGGCTGTCAGAGGCCAGCTGCCTGCCTCCCTCCTCCCTCCATACAGATGCTGAAACTATGTCAGTCAGTAATTTGTCCTCATTTGGATATTCCTGTTCATGGGGACACTCTACCATTTAGTTCTGTAGAATAGGGTCTGTGGCTATCCTAGTTACTCTGTATTTTTAAGAGGAGACTCAAAAACTCTATCGCCACCATCATTTCCCCCCAAGTTTAAACTCTAGGAGATGTCTATTGCAGAAAAGAGGTTTTAATAATAATAATAATAATAATTTTATGGTGGTTATGACAGGAATTATAATTAGGTATTTATGGTTATTCAGCTACCATGCTAAGTGCTTTATATGTATCATCTCCTTAATCCTCAACCATGAGAGTTAGATTCCCCTCCTTGTTTTATCAGTGGGGAGTTAGGGTTCAAGAGTTCATTGATGAACTGGCAGATCTGGGATTTAGATCCATTGTCTGATTCCAGAGGAACCATTTACTGAGTCTTAAATATTATCAGGTCCAACAGTTTTCAAACTATGTACTACTGTCAGCAAAACTTCTGTTTGAATTTAAATATTTATAAATAACTACTTAAACATCTAATAAAAATATATGCACATTACAGGTCAAATCTAGAAACACTGCAGATGATAAATAGATTGAATTGTGTTTATCAACCTTGTTTTTATGAACATGCTCAAAGCAAAGCTCCTACTATCTTCTAAAAAATACCATATTAAGGGTAGGAGTACAGCAAAGGGAACAGAGTTGAGATTTTGGACTTCATATTTCCCTTCTCATATCACCACTGCTAAAAAACAAAGTATATATGTAAAATATTACTTATAATTTACTTTACTAATAAGTAATTTTCTTGCAAATAACTGTTTAGAAAAAGTTAGAAATAGTTTCTCTACAATTCACACTAGCCTGGTATTTTTTTGGTCAATATGCTGCTATGGAATGTGGCGATCGCCGGTTCATAAAGTTTTATAATACCTCTCACAAATATTATCAATTAGAACCATATTTTAATTTACAATCTTATGCTATTAAATTATACAAGGATTAAGAAAATATTTAATAGTTTTACGAAATACTTTTACCATAGACTTCTCTTTCATTTATGAACAGTTACTGCTACTAACTTTCTAACATTCCAAACAATAACGTCGATTCAGGAAAAACCCTCTGAGTTTTGCATGTAGTCCTAAAGCCATCACGTACACGGTGTTTTAACTCCTGCTGGCTAAAAGATGACGTAGTTTGAGATGTGGATGTCTTAACTTGCCTGAATTTAAGCAGAAGCAATTCATGGAAGGCTGACACCTGTTGTTAAACTTATTGTTTTCCCCATCATCAGAAAATTGATTGTATTTTTTAAATTTTGATCAGCAATCGTATTTTTTAATATTTTCCACTACTTTGAGTTTACTTCTAATTTTAAAAAATGGCTGGCAAACTGAAGTTTAAAACTAATCATTTCCTCCAAGTATAAAGTAGCTATCCCTTTGGGAAGGACCATTATTTAAGATTTTTTCCTCCAATTTAGGAAAGAAATGAAAAAAAAATGTTAAATATTACTATGCCTAAACAGCTGTATTAGTAATTTAGTTTTTATACTAATACTTGGAGAACAAATAATTCAACATTTATTATCACCAAAGCCTTAACTTAAAATCCAGCTCCTTTAGAGAAGCATTTTCCTTCTCCATTTTGGTACTGGTTTCATATCTTTGAACGTCATCAAGCAACAGTGATTGATGTGATTTGCTGATAAATTGATTACTTACAAGATGAATGTTTATACTACCTCATTTACAATGAGCAAGTTCACAGAATGAAGAAAACAAAACATAAGTAAAACCCCAGTCTTTAATGCCTCCCACTTACCTGAGAATATAAAAATATAAATGACCATGTATGGAGCTAAACCGTTACATTTACTTAAGTGGTCCTGCTTTTCAGTTAAATTTTTACTTTTTAATTTGAAAAAATTAGAAAATCATCAGTTTTAAATCAGAGCAGCTAAAACATGGGGCAACAAACTTAAAGTAATCTAAGTGGCTAAACATAACTCAGTTATAAAAGTATAATTTATAACATCACATATGTCAAAAAATAAACAAGACCACTAAACATCTTTCCTTTCCAGATAATACTGTTTTCTTCCCATAAAGAAAAAAAGCAACTAATAATTTGACATTAAAATCAAATATAACTGTTATTCAGCCCAGCAACATCTAAATAAATGACCTGCACAACACGAAACTTTCCCATTCACTATCATGTACAGTTAAATTACTTTTCCCCTCAGTTACATAATACTCTTCTTAAAATAATCTCCCTTTAGAAAATAATTGTATTAGTTAAGCCTGTTCATTCTTGCTATGAAGTTAAATTCATTTATGTAGGCCATGTAAGTTTAATTGGCACGCATTTAAGAATAAGACAAAATAAGTCATTCTTTTTAAAAATTACAGGATTTGTTTTCAAAGAATAATCACAGATACTTAATTCATTAAAGCAATTTTCTACCACCAGCACTCAAACTTTTAAAATGATCACCAAGTATTCGCCTAAAGATTATCACTGCTATGTGAACTGTAAACTTGTTTTGAAGATTTGTGTCCAATTTATAATATAATACAATTTTTAAGGAAGAGTTTTAAAAAAGATAACCTACATATATACAGTTAATTTTCCTCAAAAGAACTTAGAAATACAGTATAAACATTTAAGAACCACAAGAGAGTCCACTTCAGTTCAAATTTCAAAGATTTTCTTGAAACCCACTACAAACACTAGCTCAAGACCATACCCAAAGTGACACCAGCACAAGATTTCATTGTAAGACTCTACCTCTTAAAAAAAGAGCACACTTGGTTATACATGGCTTTTAACCTTGAGCTACAGTTATGCTACAAATCCCGCCCCACCCCAATCTAAGGTCAGTCATGTGGAGATGTGTATGTTCTCCGAACACTGTTTCGAGTCCTTGGCTCGCCAGCTCTGATGGAGATCACGAAGGCGTTCAGAAGTCCGCGTGCTTACATTCAGGGCAGGATGGACTTTACAAATTCCATGTTCCTCCATCAATGACAGGCCACAAATCCCAAAGTATGCATGTAAAGCATCTAAAAATGAAGCATTTAAAAAAAAACAATACAATAGGCATTCTGATTTGTACATGCTACAAAATACTTTAGTTACATATATATCAGCCCACCACTACATTACAAATTTAGAAAAATTCTAAATATAGGTTTTTTGGAATGTTTGCTTTCACAAAGTCTCAAACACTAATTTTTAAATAACCAGGTAATCAAAATCTGATGATATTTGATTCAAGACAATAATATTAACAAAGGAAAACAGTTCTTGCTGAAGAACAGATATCCCAACATCCTTTGTGATTAAAGGACAAAAAGGAAGAGTAGCACTAAAATAAAGACTACTCACTTTAGTGGGTTTTTGCCTTTGCTTACTATAGAATATGAAAACAAGGAGCTTTAGCTCTATTATCATAAAAAGGAAAATTTTTTCTTAAAAATGAAAATAAACAAACCTCTGAATCTAAGTAGCAATACCCTTCCCCTTACTTCTGAAAGTTCCTAAGCCATATACTATTCTAATACTGTTTTAAATGAAAAGCACTTACACAAAAATAACTCATTCTGGAATGCTGTTCCATATTTAATTTTCCACTTTAGGGTAATGTCAGTCATTCTAAACATATCTGACCTGACAATAAAAACAAGCTTACATTCTACTTGGCTATAATAATGTGAATGCTTATAGAGTGACAGTTCTTCTATACTGTCCTTACTAGTGTTCTTCAGGGATCAGCAACCCTCTTCTATTCAAGTGGCCACTTAAATCACATGGCTGTTGCCTGCCCGAGAGCCTTACATGGACTTCTGCAGTTATGGGAACACTACGAAACACAGATTTTGTAGCAGTAAAATTCTTTTTCTATTTTTGATCTGGCCATCATTTATGACCTAAGGAGCTATTAAAGTTCAAAACATCTTAAAGTTCAAAACATCTTAAAGTTCAAAACATCTAAGTCAAGCTTTTCAAAAGAATTAAAGAGAAAGTTTTACTCACACAAGTATCATTTACTTTTCAAAACAGGAAAAGCAAATAGTTGTGCTTATATGTTATTTGTGAAAAAGTTATTTCACTAATGGAGGCCCTTCTTTGTCTTTTCAGAGAATGCTGAGGTTTCTTCTGGTTCATTTTCCTTTAATTTTCAAAGCACAGACACAAAAAAAATCTGAATTTCCCTGAACTATTACATGTTCCTTGCAGCTGTTCTCAAATTATAAAAGATACAAAGCAACATTGTTTTACTATCTAGAAATGAGGAAACTTTTCTAGAAAAAAATGCAATAGAAAGAGAAAATACATCTAGAATAACTTAAAATAGGGTCTTACACTTTTCAGTTAATGTAAAAATTAACATTTTTTTCCTCAAAAGGATTTTTGTAAAATCCAATGAACCAGCAGTTAACTGTTTCAAACCTCAAATATTAAAAAAAACACCCCAAAACAACTCCTCATTAGTAAAGTGATAATGTATTCATGCACTTTAGATGTTGAATATGGTTTTTTTTCATAAAAAACATTGTTTCCTCTATAAATGTATATAAAATCTCTGTGTCAAATATGCTACTGGACTTATTAGGACCAAGAATTAGCTAATTTAAAGACTCATTAAAATTATTTTTATAAATAAAGGCTCTAGAAACAGGATTATCGACCTGAGTTCAACTTATCACACAAAGATTTTCTATGCTCTTTAGTGTACAGGTTCTGAAGACATTGTAAAATACCTGTAAAAAGTATTTCATCTAAGTATTTATACAAATGTTAAAGTTAGAAACTGATCTTGCAAGAAAAAAGCTTCAAGAATTTTCTTTTGAAAAAGCTACTGCAAATAGTCAAAATGTATTTCAAGTATGTTTATATAAGAAATGCTTTCCAAGAGGTTGTCATTTCTCTATTCCCATTATTTGTTAAAATAGTGCCATGCACTTACTGAAAGCAATGGCATGAAAACCAAAATAATTATTTTCTTGAGTCACTTTTCTAACATATCTGACCAGAGCAGTTCTATGATAAGAGATGAGCTGAAAAGGTTCTAAACCATTAATAAAAGCCATGATTCTATTGCAATACTGCAAAAATGATCATTCCTTAATCTAGTTTCATATATTTATAGCTAATAATTTATCTACTTGCTTATCAAACATGTCAGGGTTCTGAATTATTTTTAAGAAATTTTCAACTGATTTTTTGGAAACTATAAATAGATTCATTTTGCTGGAGGTAAAAACATAAGGGGGAGGGACCAGTAGCCTGAAGATGATACCAGAGGTAGGAGAGGAGCCAAATGCCAGGAGGGCCTTGTGTGCCATGGCAAAGAACTGACTATGAATGCTGAGAAAGTCTTTGACTTTTAAAATAGATCTAATAATTAAGAGTTTACATTAGAGGTTCTTAACCTTCTTTTGCATCAAAGATCCCTTTGAGAGTCTGAAAAAAGCTTTGGTCCCTCTCCTCTCATTTAAGCACATATACATAACACACATACAAAGTATCAATATGAGGGGGACTAGACTAGAGGCAGGAAGACTAATGATAAGACTTCTGCAGAATCCTAGGCCTGAACTTGGATCCAATGCTACTAACGTTTTGGGGTCAGGTGGAACATGGAGATAACAAATTCTGTTGGTAGGCAAGGTCTGGAGGGGCTGTGGAAGGTATCTATGTAGTTACTGAGCAGGCAGTTTTATATAAGAGTAAGCAGCCTGTTACAAGGTCTGCCTTGAATTTGTCTAGGAGTCTGTCTACATTTGGGAAAATATGTGAATTATTCATATATTTTAAAGAAAAGTCATTATTAACACAGATCTTTCAATATTTCTAAAGAAACCATTTAAAAGTACTTATGAAATACATAAATCCTTTGCTCTTTACATCTTTATCATTCCTTGGTTTGGAAAGCATGGAATACTATATTGTCTGAATCAAGTGGGTTCCTGAGTTTTACATAGTGAATGGTGAGAATTCAGATAGCAAAGCATCTAAAAAAATAACTCCCATCTGCCAAAAACCAGAGAATAAAATTCTGGACGATGAAAAATAACTTATTCAGGATTTGAGATTTTTTGATTTAATAATTTCTGAAAAAAGCAAAAACAAGTTCCTTTTTGGATTGAAAGCAAGTTTTTCTATGTAGCTCAAGTGATGGCAATAATCCTAAAGATTTTGTGATTCTCTAATTTGGACAGTGCTTATTGAGACTATTTGCCTTAGTGTCTCAAATGAAGTAAAACAATGCTAAATAAAGTATTTGGAAAAGTGTAAACTATACCAATACATCTAGATCATCAAACCTTTCCTTTATACTGCCAATACCCTAAATCTACCCTAAAAACAATGTACCTTTTTAAAAAAGTATTATTTAACATGAGTTTACAACTATAGCTAAATTTTCTATCATATGCCATTTCTGACAAAGAGGCTTGAAGGTTTAGTCAAGAAATAAACAAAAGGAAAACTGTCAGGGATTCATACAAAAATAAATTACCTGGATGACTGTCTGGCCACTTGGCAAATCCCCCCACCAGGCGATCTTGAGTTGATAAGATGTAATTTCTATTTTTCTCAAAGTTAGTGTATTGGAAAATTTTCAGAAGCTGAAATGACATGATGTACAAATCAACAATGTGCTCAATTTTCTGATACACGTCATTTAAACATGCTTTTTTCTAGCTAAGGCTCTCAGAGCAAGCCTGTGGGGACCCAAGCACTTAAAGTAGTCAACCACATTATCTTTTTTTATTGCCTTGTCAAATCTACTCTCCTGATTTCTTGACCCACTCACTGTTTCCTTCTTCTGAGCCATGCCCACTTAATCTCTTTGCATCATATTTAGCCATGTTCAAGACACAACTTTGTCAATCAGTTCAACTTCCTCAGTCATTTAAAAAAGTACAATTTTATCTATCCATACTTTAACTGGTATGATAAGCTTCTGAGCTATTAAGTTATAACCTGTTAGCAACTAAAACTAAAAATATTTCAAAAAAGAGCAACAAAAAGTATTAACCAGATGCCAGAAACAGTTATGTTTGAGAGTAATAAAACAATTTAGTTCTTTAATTAGGAAAAATAAAAGGTGATACAAATATAATTTCAGCATAAAAATTGTGTAGCTTAAAGATTTAGGACACATATTATTTGTTCTCTCGCAAATCCCATTAAATAGAAAAAATGAAAGTTAAATGAAATGTCAAGAGAAGGGGATGGTGAGCAGTAGGCAAGAGAGTTCAAGAAATTTCTGTAAGACACAAAGCAGCTGAATGTGTGTTAATGACTCAGAGGGGCACAGAAGATGAAAAAGCATTATTTTTCAAAAAGAAAATTAAAAAGTTATGGTACAAATACGAAACAATATTCATTTTGATTTAATTAATAGAATATACAGAGGGACTTCTGTTCAAGGAGGTGAACACAGCTCACCTCCTGCACAACCACAACAAAATTAAAACTAAACAATAGAACAACCATTTTTCAGTACCATCAGAAATTGAGCTGCATGAAATTCCTGCAAATACAGAATTAAAAAGGAAACCACCACATCGAGACCAGTTGGAGGGGCAAATAGGAAGGGCAAAGACGTGGAACAGGCTGGTTCCAAACCCATGTGTGGCAGATAAAAATCAGAAGGGGTATCTCAGGAGTGAGGGGGTCCCAGACCCACACTGGGTGCCAGAGTCAAGAGGATAAGTCTCCATAACTTCTGGCTGTAAAAACCAGCAGGGATTGAGGCTGTGAGAGACAGAAACCACTGGAATCCCAGGCAGTTCCTCTTAAAGGGTCCCACACAGACTTACTTGGACTCACTCCCTCTGAGCTCCAGTGTAGGGGCAACAGACTGAAAGGCATCAAAGACATTCGGGGAGGAACTGAACTGTGTGTTTCAGGGTGAGAGCTACGGGGCAACTTTCTCCCAGAAAGAAGTGCTGGCAGAAGCCATTGTTCTTTTTCTGAGCCCTCCCTTCACAGAGCTAGTAGGCGGATGCCATATCTGAGACTCTATCAACATGGCTATCACTGTTTGCCCCACCCTGGTGATTCCCTGGGGCTCTGTCACAGCCAACTTTTCAGCCTACCCAAGCAGTTTCCAGTGGTTTTTCCATATGAATGGCTTGTCTTGGCTCATGCCAAGAAGCACTTGGCTGCTGCAAGTCCTGTACCTCTCGCTAAGTGGCCCCAGGCCTGGCACTAGCAGTAGCCAGCTTAGATTCACAGCTTGGCTTTGCCTGGGAATACCCAAGCCCAGCCCAAGTAGCAACCATCTCAGATTGCTTCATAGTTCAGGCAGGGTTGCCCAGCACAAAACACCGGTGGGGGCTAACCTTGGCCTGTACCATCCAGGAAACCTCAGAGCCTGTGCACCCAGTGGACAGCTACAGACCATGTCAGAGCACCACCATCCTGCCCTCACAGAGCTGATCCTCCACAGAGGGCAGTTTGGTGGTCAGTGTTCACAGCCAGTCCTTGCAGGTGACTAGCCTGCGTAAATCCCTCCCACTGACCGACCAAAAGCAACCAAAGCTCAACTACAAGAGGAGGGTATACTCAGCCCACATGGAGGGCACACCTTGAGTACTCAGCTTGGGTGACAGGACAGTCTGTGCCACTGGACCCTACAGGACACCTATTACATTATATCACACTATGAAGACACCAAGTCATGGCAGCTCTACCTAATACACAGAAACAAACACGGGGAGGCTGACAAAATGTGGAGACAGAGAACATGGCCCATATGAAAGAACAGATCAAAACTCCAGAAGAAGAACTATACGAAATGGAGATAAGCAATCTTCAGATGCAGAGCTCAAAACACTGGTGTTAAGGATGATCAAGGAACTTAGTGAGGACCTCAACAGCGTAAAAAAAAAAAAATCCAGTCAGAAATGAAGGATACTCTACTTGAAATAAAAAAACAATTTACAGGGAATCAACAGTAGAGTGAATGAAGCCAAGAATCAAATCAGCTATTTGGAATATAGGGAGGCAAAAAAACCACCAATCAGAACACCAAAAAGAAAAAAGAATCCAAAAAAATGAAGATAGTATAAGGAGCCTCTGGGACAACTGCAAGCATCACAACATTTACATCATGGGGGTGGCTGGAAGGAGAAGACAGAAAGCAAGTAATGGAAACCTATTTGAAAAAATGATGACAGAAAATTTCCCTAATTTGGTGAGGGAAGTAGACATACATGACCATGAAGTGTGGAGTTCCAAACAAGCTGAACCCAAAGAAGCTCACACCAAGACACATCATAATTAAAAGGGCAAAGGTTAAAGACAAAGAGATAATCTTAAGAACACCATGAGAAAATCAGTTACCTACAGGAGAATTCCCATAAAACTGTAAGCTGATTTCTCAAAAGAAATTTTGCAGGCTAGACGGGATCGGCAAGAAATATCCAATGTGATAAAAAGAAAGGACCTACAACGAAGGCTACTTTACCTAGCAAAACTACCATTTAGAATTGAAGGACAGATAAAGAGCTTCCCAGACAAGAAAAAGCTATAGGAGATCATCACCACCAAAGCAGTATTATATGAAATGTTAAAGAGCATTCTTTAAGAAGAGGAAGAAGATCAAAAATATGAACAATAAAATGGCAATAAATATATAGGGTCTGGCAGAAGTAAAGACTGCTTGAGTGGTTGGTAGGATAATAATGGGGTGTAACAATGTATAGTTTTAATTTGAACATTTCATCTAAAATGCCATATGGTGTGCTTGAGTGAGATATTGTTATGTTACAGAATTACATGGTTATGATTTTGTATTAAAAAAGGGGTGTTATTTGTACCAGACCCTGTATATCTAACAACTGAATCTTAAGAACAAAATAAGCAAATAGGCATAACAGAAACAGTACCATAGATATAGAACGAGTTTTTATGGTTGCCAGATGGGATGGGGGTCAGGTGGATGGGCAAAAAAGGTAAAGGGATTTAGAAATACAAGTTGGTAGTTAGAGAATGGCCATGGGGATGTAAAGTACAGCAAAGGGAATATAGTAGCCAAAGAACATACACGCATGACCCATGGATGTGAACAAAGGTGTGGGGACTGCCTGAGGGAGTGAAGGGAGCTGGGTGGAGCATGGCAGAGGGGAAAAAATTTGGACAACTATAACAGCATAAACAATATAATGTAATATATATTATTAACAAAATATAATTTAAAAAGAAGGAAAAAAAAGAATATATGGAAAGACTCTTAGAACCCTGATGTTGGAAACATTTTCCATCAAGTAGCACATAGGTCATCACATAAAAAAGAAATTATCTTAACACTATATTTGGTTCAGCAAAAAACAGTATTTACATAATCATAATAAGTGATTATTGATTTTTAAATTTTAGAAGCAATCTATAGGCTAAGCATAAAATATTTTATTACTACATAAAATATGAATGTTACTGAATTTGACATTATAAAAGTTAAACTGACCAAATTATAAGGTGGAAGAGGAGAAAAGTTTCAAAACTAAAAACCAAACTTATAAACAGCACCCCCTCCCCCCACCACACACAACTAGTAACAACTTGCTGAAAAAGAGGAGGCTAATTTTTCATAGTTGAGAATCAAAGATAATCCCTAGAGATGATGAGTCAAGATATCAGCATATTATTTATTATTTAAAGTTATCAACAAGAATTAGTTTTTAAAAAACATTTAAAAGTGGCTGCCTTTAAAGTTGTCAAAGACTATCAAGGTCTATCAGAAGGACCCAAAAGTCAACTTCTCAACAAACGATACAGAGATAGCTGAACATCCACATGTGAAATAATGAAGCTGGACCCTTTATACCACATACAAAAATTACTGAAATAGATCTAAGACTTAAACTCAAGAGCTACACCTATAAAACTATTAGAAGAAAGCATTGGGATAAATCTGCATAACATTGGATTTGGCAATGATTTCATGGATATAACAATCAACAGCATAGGCAACAAAAGAAATAATAGATAAATTAGACTTCATCAAATTAAAAAACTTTTGTGCATCAAAGGACTTCATCAACAGAGTAAAAAGACTACCAAGAAATGGGAGTAAATGTCTGCAAATCATGTAACTTGATAAGGGATCAATATTCAGAACACTTAAAGAAACCTGTAAAACCCAACAATAAGAAAACAAACAGCCCGATTAAAAGATGTGCAAGTGTTTGTGAAGTTGTAGAGAAACTGGAATCCTCATACATTGCTAGTGAGAATGTAAAATGGTGCAGCTGCTGTGGAAAAGTTTGAGGGGGGTCCTCAAAAAATTAAACATAAATCTACCATATGATACAGAAATTCTATTTCTAGGTAAATATCCAGAAGAAATGAAAGCAGAGACTTGAATATAAATTTGTACCTAAATGTTCATAGCTACCTTTTTTTTGTTTAAATTTATTTTTCGATTACAGTTGACATATATTAGTTTCAGATGTACAACACAGTGATTAAACATTCATATACCTTACAAAATGATCACTCATAAGTTTATTACCCATTTAATGTCATATATAGTTATTACAATATTTTTGATTATATAGCCACCTATTCACATAGCCAAAAGGTGGAAATGACCCAAACATCTATCAACAGATAAATGGATAAACAACAGATATTACTCAGCCATAAAAAAAAAAATGAAATTTTTATATGATACAACATGGATGGACTTTGAAAACATTTATGCTAAGTGAAATAAGCCGGACACAAATGATCTAATTCCATTTATATGACACACTTAGGATAGGCAAATTCATAGAGATAAAAAGTAGGACAGAGGTTACCAGGGGCTGGATAGAGGAAAGAATGGAGAGAGTTACGGTTTAATGGGTACAGAGTTTATATTGAGGATGATGTAAATTTTCTGGGTGTAGATAGAGGTAATGGTTACAAGACATTGTGAATGTAATTACTGCCAATGAATTGTGCACTTAGAAGCAGTTAAACTGGTATTACAAGTATTACTTTGCAAATATTTTACCACCATAAAAAAATAATAAAGTAGAAGCTAATGGGGAACTTCATAATTGACAAATCAGGTCTGACAACTCTGGAGCTCTTTGTTAAAAGGAGAGACAACCAGAGATTATGTGCTCCTTCATGTGATGCAACAGGAAATATACATCATCAATGACTGGCTATTTAATGATAATAAGGAATTATGACTAATTTTTTAGATGTGATAATACTGCAGTTCTGTTTTTCAAAAATGGTACTTTTCTTTAGCAAGTATATTGAAAAATTTCCAGATAATATAAAAGTGGTATCAGGGATTTGCCTTCAAATAATCTAAGGAGGGGGAGAGTAGTGAGCAGGAGTATGGATGAAGGAAGGCTGGCTTAGGGATGGAACTGCTGAGACTGACTGAGGGATATAGAGGGGTTTAGTATATACCATTCCTACTTTTCAATATGCTGACATTTTCCACAACTAAAAAAATTTATAAATGGTGCAATTTTAAATTGCCTTCATTTTAAAATCATTCTATTTTCTGAATTTATTTCAACCATGTGTATGAATTTTGTCTAAGAGAAAAAAGTTAGGAAATTATATAGAAGATGAACATAGACTTTTGTTAGAATCCAGAATAGATTCTAGAATATCAGAGTTAGGTGATATTTTCTAAAGATGAAATGCAAATTTAAGAAAAAGAAAGCATACAGGTATTCAGTGGCTAATAACCTTATGGAATTAGGTAAATGAAGATGTAGTAGTGATGGGGGAAGATGTGTGAACATATCAAGCAATACATTTCAGAAGGTTCACACAAATAAATCAATAAAAAATAGAAAACCTTAAATGATTTAAAAAATGAGCTGTGATTTTTCTTTTAAGATTAATATCTTCCCATAAAATCTTTACTGGTATGTTCAGATAGATCCTTGCTCCAGATGGACTACTTACTGATCAGTTTCAGTAACAGGTTTTTTATGACTTTACACCTACTTTCTTAACTACGTTCTGGGCCACTTGAATTTTATAGAAATGTACATTTTCAAGTAGTACAACAGATAACTGAATTCTATCAAAAAATTATATAGACATTAGCTTTGCCAGAGCATCAGGAAAAAGTAGCTTAAACCTAACAATATTTAATGGACAGCAACAAGACCAAACCCATTACACAAAGCTGATATTAACAAAATGTATAGGTTTCTCATTTTTATTATTTTTCTTACCTTTAGAGTTGCTCCCACCCAAAAAGAATAACAGGTGTCTACGGGTTTATTCGGTCTTCCATGATAACCATTTTGTTGCCTCATTATACACCACCTCTTTATCCTGTTCAATTCTTTTTCTGAAAAAACTTCTTCTAGTTTACCCATGAGACACAGTGACGCAATGCCACAAAAAGTGGATCCTCCTGTTAATCAAAAGCACACAGTATACTTCAAAACAGATGCCTAGCAAAATGATATAAAATGGCTGGAGGAAAAAAAGTGGTTAAATAACTCTAGAAAATAGTGAGATAAAAGTAATTTAAATTTATAAGATAATTATAATTTTAAATAGCCACTAAGCACTGAAGTTTTAATATTAATTTGATAAAAAGAAAATAATTTAAAGTAAGTTAAAGCTGTAAGAAACATTTTACTTATGAAAATAAGTAAGGTTTGGGGAAACTAAGAAACTTTTTCAAAATCAAATGGTTAATGGCAGAGCTGAAAGTAAAATATGGGACAAACTACTATTTCCTGTGAAGGACTCTATCACCTGAGTATGATTTTAATTCCCTTAAAGATAGTATATTACTAATTAACTGAGCTTCCATCTGCCTGAAGCTACATGCTAATTTTCACATATAACATAAACAAGCTAGGAGCTGGTATGCAGATATGACACCTAGTCAGCTTAAGAAATTTAAGGAAAAAAAGTTTGAGTGAGGGGAGAGGAAGATGGTATGTGTGGGCAGGGGAGAAGAAAACTGTAGCTGGAAGTAGATGAAAAGTGAGTATCCATACTCACTGCTGTGGAATGAATAATACCCACCAATGATATCCAGGTCCTCATCCCTGGAACAGTGCATGTTACCATATATGGCAAAAAAAGACTTTGCAAAAGTGATTAAGTTTAGGATCTTGAGATGGGAAAATTATTCTGGATCACCTGGGTGGGCCCTAAATATAACCACAAGGGTCACTAAAAGAGGGCAGAGGGAGATTAAACTACAGAAAGAGGAGGCAATGTGACTATGGATGCAGAGACTGGAGTGATGTGGCAACTAGTCAAAGAATGCTGGTGGCCACCATAAGCTGGATGAGGCAAAGGAACAGATTCTCCCCTGCAGCCTCCAGAAGTAACCAGCCCCACTGACATCTTGATTTTAGTCTTATAAGATGCAGTTTAGACTTCTGGCCTCCAGAACATTAAGAGAATAAATTTGTGTCATTTTATACCCCCAAGTTTGCAGTAAAACGTTACAGCAGCAATAGAAAACCAATATGCTCACAAAGTTAATACTTTCCTAAGAAATGAAAAGTCAGTATTTTTCCATAAAGAAAAGAAACAACACTTTCCATTGGCACTATTTGTTGTCAACTACAAACAATTTTAAAATACTTATATTTCCAATTTATTACGATGCCACTTAGTAATTTTTATTTATTTCAGCTATTTAAATAGATGATAGTTCCTAATATTCCTCATCCTGTAACTTTCCTTCTGTTGTTACAAATCTTGGAAGTGTTCTCTGGAAAAGGAAAAACGAACATTCCCTGTAGAAAACTAAAGGCAACTATGACAGCATATGGATTACTGTCAGTAGAAACTATTTAATCTTTAGAATTTTCCCCAATTAGTTGGGAGATCTGTGCTAGTCATGAGCGAATTAAAACAGAAAAGTAAAAACAATCATAACCTTTTAGAATAATTTCTATTAAGCATCTATAAATCTTAGCTCTTCTTCAATAACTTACTAGTTTCAACTTCCCTTTCATGAAAACTTGCACATGACTTCAGGTATTATAACATCATTAAATATAAAGCCTCTAATAGTATGTCATCTTTAAAATTAACTACTAAAAAGTAAAATAAAACATTTAATTGTTACTATCCAATTACTTGCTAGGATTCTTTAAAGCAAACTGGTACAATTCAAAGTAGAACTACTTTTTACTTTGCCCAAATCACCAGATTTTGAAAGTATTAACTTCTGAAGTTTAGGCTCTGAGTAGTCAAAAAAAGTAATTACAAAAGACTACACTTAAGCTAAAATTCATTTAACAAAATTTACCCCTAAAAGGTTGTTTCACACAAAATTCTAAAAAACTAGTTCCAAAAACCTAGATTAAAAGCAGTATGTTAGACATAAAAACAGCAAGAAACACAGTAACATCTTTACAATAAGTAAATTGAGGAATATGATAAAACAGCAGACACGATTCCTATAAGCTTCAACTTCAAGAATATTACATCATTATATTAAAGTACTATACAAGAATTGCTTCTTATAGTAATGATCTGAATTCATCAAGAAAAGGTTAAATTGTGTTCAATATGCCTTGGTTCAAGAAGATACGAAATAGCATTCCTCTATGTTAGTGGGACAATACCCAATCTACTGAGCCACATCAAAAGACCTGTACTCAGAAAACTATAGGACGCTGAAGAAAAAAATTAAGATACTAATAAGTGGAAGCATATACCATGTTCATGGATTGGAAGAATTAACATCATTAAAATGTCCATACTACCCAAAGCAATCTATAGATTCAAGGCAATTCCTATTAAGATTTCAATGCCATATTTCACAGATCTAGAACAAATATTCCATAAATTTATATGGAACCAAAAAAGACCCCAAGCCTCAGCAATCATGAGAAAGAAGAACAAGGCTGGAAGGATCACAATACTTGATATCAAACTTGATACTACAAAGCCACTGTAATCAAAACAGTCCTGTACTGGCATCAGAACAAACACAGATCAATGGGCAGAACAGAGTCCAGAAATAAACCCATGTCTTTATGGTCAATTCACATTTGACAAAGGAGGCAAGAGCAACACAATGGAGTAAAAATTGTATTAGGAGAGCTGGACTGTACATGCAAAAAAAATGAAACTAGACCACTATCTTACACCATATACCAGAATAAACTCAAAATGGATAAGAGATTTAAATGTAAGTGGTGATACCATAAAAATCCTAGAGGAAAACATAGTAAAATTTGAGATATCTCACGTAGCAGTATTTTTGCCAATATATCTCCTAGGACAAGGGAAATAAAGGAAAAAAATGAATAAATGGGACTACAACAAATTAAAAAGCTGCTGCACAGCTAAATAAACCATCATCAAAAAGGGAACCAACTGTTGAGAAATGTCCCTCCTGGTTTCAGGGACTGTAGCCTCGCCGACGGGCAAGAGGACTCCAAGGCTGGAGCTAATCAAGGAGGCCTTGGGAAAACAGGCCACTGAGGAGATGAAACCTGTCCCCCTGGCAGGGGCGCAGCCTCCCTCACATCACCTTGCTTGACCCTGTTTTAGTCGGTGATCCATGACGGGTAAGTTTTTCTCATGTGGAGAAAATGACCTAAGACAGACATTGGCTGGTACGGGCAGCGGCACAAGGACTTGGGGGACATGGAAGAAGGGTATAAAGGCCCGCACCCCTTGGCTTGGACAGGGCCAGAGTCCTCATTCTCTCTGAAAAAAGTCTCCTTATCTCTTCATGGCTCCGCCACCTGGCTCAGGCTTGAAACAATACTAAAGGCAGGTACAGCCCTAAACTGGATCAGGCGGTTCCCGGGGACAATAAGGCCTAGAAGTTAAGTTCCTCTAAGCATGCTTTGCTTTTCCCCTAAAAAGCGATGATAACTGGCTCATACAAGTAAGGAGATTCACATTATTCATAGACCCTGACCTGAGGCAGATCTCTTGTGTTCCTCCAATTGTTACCCATGATCTGTTTTCTGTAAATACAGCCTTTTGACATTGATTGATGAGCTTTGCTGTATATCCCTGTGCATATGGTTCTCAATAAAAGCCTTTAGACATAGGGGTTTGGGTGTTTAGAGGGAAGAGCCATGTCTCCTCTCCTGGCAAACATAGAACTGTTTGTGACAACTAGTGTTTATTGCCCCCATCCATGATAACCCCAGGATGGGCTCTGCGGGATTCAGAGCCCTGCTCCCTCCTCAGCTGGCTCTGGACAGTAACCCTCAGATCTGGGAGCCCCATGCTCCACCATGGCTCTCCCCGTGATAACCAAATGTATGGGAGTGATAACGGCAAGATGACTTGGGAGGAGCAGCCTAGCCAGAGACCCCCTCCCAGGTTAACTGTTAATCATTGCTTATCTGCTTCTGTAGCCCATTTTCACATCCCTTCCCCTGCCTGGGGTAGCACATCAATCTCCCACCTGAATGCTAATCCCTTCCGCCCATCCGTTTCCCGCCGGAATGCTAGGGCTTATAAACCCCGATCTAACCCCGATTCGGGGCTCAGAATTTGGAGACTGCCTCCTCTGAGCCCACGCGTGTGAATAAAGGCTTACTCCGTTCCCTGAATCGTGTCTTGAGTCTGGCTTTCCATAACAGGAGAACATATATGCCAACGATACCTCGGACAAGGGTTTAATCTCCAAACTATACATAGAAGGAACTTATATGACTCAACACCAGGAAGACAAATAATCCACTTAAAAGTGGGCAAAGTACATGAATAGACACTTCTCCAAGAAGAACATACATATGGCCCATACACATATGAAAAGATGCTCAACACCACTAGCCATCAGAGATGCAAATCAAAACCACAATGAGATTACCTCCTATCTGCCAAAATGGCCATCATTAATAAATCAACCAACAACAACTGCTGGCAAGGATGTGGAGAAAAGGGAACCATAATGCACTGTTGGTGAGAATTCAGGCTGGGGCAGCCACTGGGGAAAACAGTATGGAATTTCCTCAAAAAAAAAAAAAAAAAAAAAAATGGAACTGCCTTTTGACCTAGTGATTCCCCTACTGGGAATGTACAAGAACCCCAAAATACCAGTTCAAAAGAATTTATGCACCCCTATGTTCACAGCAGCACTATTTACAATAGCCAATATTTGGAAATAGCCTAAGTGCCCATAAGAAGATGAGCAGATAAAAAAACTGTGGTACATTTACACAATGAAATACTACGCAGCAGAAAGAAGGAATTTCTACGTTTATGACAGCATGAATGGAACTGGAGACTACTATGCTAGGTGAAATAAGCCAGCCAGCAAAAGATAAATATTATATGATCTTATTTATATTTATTGTAAATAATTGGTTTATCTTTGGCACATAGGGGCTTCCCACGGGCCTGGGTCATTCTTTTGTTTAATGGATTCTGGACTCTTTTAAAGGAATCTGATCCTTTGGAATTTTG